CAATTAAAACTAAAATACTGTTCTTGAACGCATAGACAAGCGACTTCCTGTATCAAATTTTCTTGTGTCGAACACGGAATGTAAAACAAGTTCTTAATACGTTTTCTGTAATACCCATGTTTTTTTTTAATTCGCTATTGAAATTGAGACTCCGCTCTTAGACTTCATCAAACAGTGCCGTCTGGTAAAGTTTCATGCTCTGCGGACAAAGAAATTCTAACCGAACGCTGCTGGTTTGAGTAAAAATCAAAAATCCAGTTTGTACCCTTCCTTAAAATAGTCATACTATACTTTGCAACATGGTTTCAGTCAACTCAAAAGTGCCAACTCGCTCGTACAAATCTCTAAGCTTTTCCCCTAGAGGGTTAAGCGAAGAGAACAGACATCAAAAGACTCACAAACAACTAAAATTACATGGCAGCTTCTCAAAATCAATATACTGATGCCGCATTTTTTTTCCTGGAAACACTGAGTAATTACACTAAATGTATCAGATACATGTTCACTTCTATGAATAAGATTGTTACTATGATAAAAAAAAAAATTACTCACGTTTACATGCTATAGCTGTTGAAGTAAAAAAATATAAACTTACTGTTTAAAATATTAAGTGTTCGTAGTTTATTTACTATATTAATTGGGACTACGGCTATTTACTCTCGCCGTTAAACGTACAAAATTGATTAGGTAGATTTTATGCATGTCTTCCATCCCGATCTTATAAAGCTGGTAAAAATTCAAAACTATCTTATTTTCAATTTAATATTGTGAAACAAAAAATAAATGAACGAAAGCAAAACGCAGAAGTTGTGAAAGAGACTCAATTTGAATTTCACACAAGAGATAAAACATTACGAGAAGGAAAGAAATGTGAAACAAGAGGAATCAATTGGTCATTTGTATGCATAAGCATTATAGAATTGTAATATTTATCTTGTGTCAAGCAGAAGCAGAAAAATATTTCTAATAATCATTTCCAACAATAAAAAGGTAATAATTACTAATAAATATAGCTACAAACATAAGAAATGTCTTAAAATCATTCAATATAAATTATTTAAAATATGTTTTTTAAAGTAGATGGAAAGAGGCCAGCCAGTTTATGAATAAAAAGAAAATCAAGACAAATTCAAACGTGGAATTATGTAAAGCGATTAGCAATGAAAATTCGTTAATCTGCATATAAACAGTTATATATTTGAATTTTTCTGCAATGATCCTAAAATGTGTGTGTGCGCGCATGCACACACACAAAAAAAAAAAAAAAAAACACAAAAAATTAACTGTAAAATTTAAGAAACCTATACGAGAACGGGGGGTGGGAAAAAGAAAAAAAAAGAAAAAAGACCAAAAGGCAGATATCTGCCTAAACTTTAACCAACAGTGGTTTTTGTCTAGGTTACTAGGATCAAGCAAACACACCTCAAAAGAGACAAAGTTCAATGTTCCAGCAATAGTCAGGCGACCAGAAAGATATATATATATATATCATGTCTTCATTCAACAATGTTTGGTTGAATAGTGTAGACATGTTGTCTATTTTAAATTCTCTCAAATTCACGGATCATTTTTTAATGTTAAACTCATTAAGTAATGCGCTGTAGGGTTCGTTTTTTATTTCTTTTATAGTACTTTCAATCACATCCAAGATCACCTTCAAGGATGAATTGCTAAGACAAAAAATTAATTTAATTAATATTTGTAATTTTTTTTTTTCAATTACAATTGAAGTATTTCAAAATATTGCTGTTATAGACATTTTAAAACATTGTTGCTTTACTAATTTATCATATTTAGTGTTGATTGTATTTTTCTTATATATGAATAATCAATTACATTAAATTTTTCTGCTAGCAATTCATTCTAGATGAGATAGAGTAGCTGGGGCGGGGGGGGGAAGAACCGAAAAAAACTACTGCACCTTCCGTAATGAGTTTCACATTAATTGATCCATGAATTTGAGAGTATTAAAATAAAAGTAGATATGTCTAGATTATTAAACCATATATATATATATATATATATATATATATATATATAACGTCATTATAACGTTTCACAGCTCATCAGTGTTGCCTCTAGCTAGAATCGAAACCCGACTGAATTGGTGTCAGTCGGAGATTCTAACCATTAAGCCGTCGGCGCACGGTAGGGATGAGCGTATTTATTTTTACAAATACGCCTAGTGACCGACAGTGACTGAATTCGCATCTGCGAAGAGTCTCGCTATATAGCTATAATAGTCACTATGTGTGTGTGTATATATATATATATATATATATATATACACACCCAAAAATATTTTTAATATACAAGTAATAAAAAAATGTCATATTTTGAGGAGGAAAATGGTGATTAAATGTGAATTTCATATTGAATAATTGAAATATCGCATGTTTTCTTTAGCTCAGAGAAATAGAATTTGCTGTGGATAGCGAAATATTTAAAAATGTCAAATTTTACTTCAGTTTCTGTCATTCTTTTTATTATAACATTTTATAATATTTTGCTAAATTTTTACTATTACACACGCCTCTCTTATTGACCTAATGCGCATGACCCATTACATTCTTACTTCACCGTCATTGGCCAATTGACTAAAAGAGTCTAAAATAATAATCGGGTATTAGGCAAGGGTAAAAGGAAAAATAGTTCTAATGTCTTGTAATTAAAAAAAAAAAAAAAAAATGTTGCCTCCGAAATATCGTATTTTTTTTGTAACAAAATATGAAAAAATATTTTGTTTCAGATTTCAAAGTTAATATAAAGAAAATTAATTCTTTGTTCCAATTGTCATTAAATTATTTTTTTTTTTAACTTTCGGAAACATTTGAGAAAATCTCTTCGGATTTAGTCTCATTGTTATCCAACCATTTTTTTCAAGCTTAACATTTCATATGGACAATTCGAAGAATGAATTAACAGACAATTGAAGAAATACTCGCTGCTATAATATCAATAGACAAGAATAGTTTAACCCCTTTATTCGAGCTATTAACATTTTCATTATGGAATGAAAGATATTCAGTGGCCAGACTCACTGCTGAAAATTCTCATAATTACACGCCCATTTTACGAATAATTGGAAGAACTACAGATATCTTGTGCTAAATTTCATTTATAATATAGAATATATGATGTCCTGTTATGAAAAGGATGGTAAAGACAAACTGGATTTTGTTAACATGTATAAGAAAAACGAATGTAAGCAAGAAATATCCAGACTGATCTACTGTGAATACCAGAAAATTTTATCAAAAAGAAAGGCGTAGAATTATTATTATAATTCAAAATGTGTCTCATTACTTTACATTATTTGATAAGGATGAATTTATACAAAGACCTTCAGAGTTCTACATTCAACATGTAAGATTTGTACAAGAAATCTGGAAATTAAAAGACTGTCAACTCTGTTTAAGTAAATACGTAAATCTTAGATTTCCCTAAAATTTCCGCCTTTACATACAGCCATATTAATTTCGATAGCATCGAAAAAAAGATATTGTCACCAAATGAAAAATATTCCTTTTTAATGTTTCCTGTTAAATGAAAGAAAAAAAAAAAACATTTTCCAAATTACTGTTGTACATAAATTTTAGCAAAAGAACAAAGAAAAAAATATTTACTTACCTTCATCGATGTCTTCAGTTGGTAGATCTACATATTTCAAATTAACAGGTCAAATTCTTTTGTTATAGGTACCATGTAACCCAATACCGTCACATGTTACTTAGAATAGACACAGGCATTGTCGCCTTGCCTTTAGAGACATAAAAATATGATAATCATTAGACCAGCCCACCAAAATTTCAGAGTCACTCAAGATTTTAGCGCTGCCGTATTTTTCCGAGTTTTTTTTTTTTCTCCACACACCAAGTAATCTTTAATTTGTCAAGAATGCTAGTATATTCCGGAGTGTATATTTGGATACTCCTCAAAACAGATTCTCATGATATGTTTCTACGTGTTTTTCTAACAAAAGCTAGAAATAAATTTTGCACATTGCATCACCGAATATAACGCTTTAAGTTTAAACGCTATTTAAAAAGGCCATTTCATCTCCTGTAATAAAAAAATCTTGCAAGTGGATAAGTTTTGAGCTTTAGTACAAACTTATAATAAATCGCTATTTGCCACTATTTTTTAAAATTTTTCATGGGGTTTTTCAACCGATTTGACGAACATATTCTGAAAGGTTTTAAATAATTTTAAGTTTTTTTCGATCGTACATGATTCAACAAATTATTAACGTTAAAATATATTTCGCAAAGATTAAATGGAACAGGTGCATTAGTAAGACTTCTATGTACATCAGGGCAACATGTAGATCTGAAACACGTGAAATAATATTAAGAAAACTGTGACTTAAAAATTACATAATTTTTTAAAACGTTCAAATGATTCAGAAAAGGACAACATATTACGTATCAGTAAGCATTTTTTCATTAGTTCAAGGATTTATTGTGAATTCAGCTTTGAGACAAAACAGGCGTACAAGTCTAGAAGTGGCGCCGTCCCCTAAACTGAATTTTACATATATATATATATATATATATATATATATATATATATATATATATATATATATATATATACAAATTCAGTACAAATTCGTTCTGCCGACCCACTTTAAAATTAACACCTGTACGCCTGTAGGTGACAATATCTTTTCTTCCATTAAACTATTTGCAAAAATACGCAAGGAGTAGGAAGTTCGACAAGAAATATTCATATTTATTATTGAAAGGGTACTTACCTTCATCGATGAATCCAGTTTGTCGATTTCATAATCCTTTATCCAGTTTTTAATATTTATAAACTTACCTTCTCATTCCTTTGGACGTTAGAAAATTGATTGTCAGCCGAAAAAGTTTATTACGGACAACGTAGCGTGATGATCATACCAAATATAAAACGCTGGTGAAGTTCTGAAAATACAATCCGAAATAGAATTATGCGGCTAATTTTCATAGACATATTCTCTTAAATCGTTAAAGCATTTAAGTAGATGAGGTGTAGAGAGAAAGGGAGAGACGGGGGGTGAGAGAAAGGGAGAGACGGGGGTGAGAGAAAGGGAGAGACAGGGGGGTGAGAGAAAGGGAGAGACGGGGGGGAGAGAAAGGGAGAGACAGGGGGGGGAGAAAAGGAGAGACAGGGGGGTGAGAGAAAGGGAGAGACAGGGGGGAGAGAAAAGGAGAGACGGGGGGTGAGAGAAAGGAGACAGGGGGTGAGAGAGAGAGACGGGGGGGTGAGAGAGAGAGAGAGAGACGGGGGGGGGTGAGAGAAGAGAGAGAGAGAGGGGGGGGTTGGAGAGAGAGAGTCGGGGGGGGGGGAGAGAGACTGGGGGGGGTGAGAGAGAGAGACTGGGGGGTTGGAGAGAGAGAGACGGGGGGGTTTGAGAGAGAGACTGGGGGTTTGAGAGAGAGACTGGGGGTTTGGAGAGAGACTGGGGGTTTGGAGAGAGAGACTGGGGGTTTGGAGAGACTGGGGGGGGTTTGGAGAGAGAGAGAGACGAGGGGTTTGAGAGAGAGAGAGACGGGGTTAGAGAGAGAGAGAGAGACGGGGTGGAGAGAAAAAATACTTCGACATGATGTAATGGTTTGCAAGTTTGACTCGCTAGATGAATTACGATTACGGAGTAAGTTTGATCCTCCTTACCTTCGCCCCACACCTAAACTTTGCTTAGTAAAAAAAAAAAAAAAAAAAAAACGCGTACACTTGGGGGCACAAAAAGGGAGGGTGGAAGATAATTGAACATCAATGCCCCGCATAAATGCCAACATCACTGGCGGCAACAAAATGTTTGTAGCGTTACCACTTTGTGTGTGTGTGTGTGTATAAAAAATGAATAAAAAGAGTTAATTAAAATTTGAATGCAACATTTCAAGTTGGTCTACATACATTAAATTGCTGGTCAGAGCAGCAAGTTATATATGAAAAACCGTTCGAATGAAACCATTTATCAAAGCATTTCGGATTCTGGCACAGATTTCGTTATTGTTTCATACCTTCGACTACATATTCTTTACGCAATGTCATACTTTCAAGGTAAACTTTTGTTTTCTGGCTATGTAGTTTGTAGATAATCTATTGTAGATATTATATTTTGATCTATTGACCTATTTTAGGACATTGTTAACAACAGACAATGGTTGATCGATTCGTTTTATACACCGGTTATTTAAAGCAGTAATTCTTTTTACAGATAATGGTTTACTGATACAAGTCTTACTAATTAACCCATAACTAAGGTAGAATAAGTTATTTTAGAATAGGGGAAAATAGACATTTGTGCGTAAGGGAATATAATGAACCTAACTGGAATTGGAACTCGGCACTCCGATTAACAATTCCGAGCCATTATTTATTACACTATCCGCACAGCTAAGCGGTCACCCTTCTAGATACTGACTAGGTTCGGCGTTTCTTAACTTCGGTGATCGTGCGAGAACTGATGTTTTAACATGATGTGGCCATAAGTAACAAAATTCAGATTACCCAGTAATTAAACAGCAATGCTAAATATAAATGAACAGGAGACAAAATCACAAGACACGAATTTCAACTTAGGGACATTTTGTAATTAACATTGATACTGAACGTATCCATTTTAAAATCATTGTTTTCGGATGAGAAAAAAACATCATGCTAAAATATAGCAATTTCATAGCCAACGAAAATGAATTTGACAATTCTAAGAGAAAAAACTAAAATTTAAGACAAATCCTTAAATATATAATGATTTCGGTTAAAATTTATAGTGCTTTTCAACAAATAGACACTTCATTTAAATAGATTCGTTCTGTACCTAGCCCACGACCTTTTACCCAGTTGAAGCTGTCTAATATCGGTTTTGGTAAGGAAAGACTTTGAAGATATTTCGTTCTGAAAACTTCTCGAAGTAGAAACAACTCAAAAATGGATTATTTCTAACCAACACTTCCTATTATCTTAAGTTCTAAGCAGGATAAACACAAAGTAAATTCTAAAAATAAGAACGATCAAGCGATATTTAATTTGTTAAAACTTAAAAAATTTAACACGAAGTCGTCATGAAAGGAGACCACTCCAAATATCTAAATCGAACATTTGATATTGGAATAAACGTCTTGTTAATTCAATGTTTAATAAAAGTTCTAATCCTAACTGAGAACAATGACAAACACCACAACTTAAGAAATTGATTCAACAATTTTATTTTTAGAGAGGCAAAAATTAAATTTCGTTCGTTGCACGAGGTGTCATGTGAGAAACAGAAGATAGCCAAACCAATGCACAAACTGTTTTGAAAATACACAGAACACGAGTTTTATTTTTTTGCAAAAACTCATTGCTACATTTCTTTCAACTCTGAAACCCGTTTTTAAAAAATAATTCTAAATTTCTAATTTAGAACTATTTTTAAAATTTTTAAAATTACAGTTTACTTAGACATCAAATTTAAATTAAAATAATTTTTTTATACAAAGTGCTTTAAAGCCTCTTTTTATAAAAAAAAAAAAAAAAAAAACTTTAACGAAAAAGATTAAAAGTCAGTTAAATTTTCGAGTTACTATTTTGCCCATGAAGGTCTCAATTATATATTTAAAAAAAACAAAAAAAAAAACAGAAAATAAATGTAGATTAATATTACATTTGTCAGATTTTCTAAATGTATAGGGTGGCCCGAAAGTCATGTCACCCCTACCGCTCTTCCGAACTGTAGGAGCTGAAATAGAAAATTATTATGCAGAGGTGACACGACTTTCGTACCACCCAGTACAAAGCGGGGGCGGTAGGAAATGCTACTTAGAAAACTATGTAAACTATAATTTTTGAATAGATTATACGCGACTGCTTTCTTCAATAGTTTGGACGAATGAAACCGGGAGTTCTTTGAGAGAGAACCACAGTTCCTCGAATTTTATGGACTGGCACTACAGAATCACACTAAAACTAACAAATGACAGGAACCAAATCTCTTAAGGACTTTCATCAACAGCAACTACTAAAATGGATATCACTTGTAACTCGAAGAGAAAATAAGAATATAATCAGGATGATTATATCCCACACGACTTCAAATAAAAAAGATTCCATCAGTGATGGAAAGAGGGATAACAGTTACTACACTTGAGCAACCTATTTCCCCGAAAAATTTGTTTTAATAAATTCCAACAAATAGCACTAGCTGTTCGGTCAATGAAAACCGAATGCTTCTGTAAAAGGAAACTGCTAATATTACCGTTACTATATTTGTAACACAACTTACAATATTCTCTAATTACTAACATTTTACAGAAAAAAAAACACTGAACTTTTAATGATTCTACATAGCCTTTTTATTTTACTGATCGAAGATTGAACCCACACACTTTCTTTTTAATATTTAGCTCTAATTTAACAAAAAGCATGTGTGCACTTGTCCATTTCCAAATCAGATGATTTAGTAATTGTTGCTAATATGCTTTTTTAAACACAAGATTCAAAATAATGTCTGCATCAGATATAATTTAGATACGCTGATTCAAAGTCTATTTTAAGCAAAGGTCAGGGTGAAGTCATTTTGATGTCCCGATTTCAAAAATTTCAACTTAATTTAACAGATATAAAATTACTATAGATACACAAGGGAAATGTTGACCCGCAGCAATTCAGATAAAGACATTTTTTTAAAAATTACACAGTATTTTTCAATATGATATCAGTTAAATTATTGAAGCGAAATTCTTTCATTTGATATCAGTGACTACGCTCCTCTCTACAAGTTAGCATCTTTTCGGCTCACTCACCACAAATAATGTAAAGTTAATTCAAAATTTGTTTAGCTTGCCTCGAGAATGGAAAATTACCAAGAATCATGAAGTTATTAACATTTCGTAAGAAAAGATGATATTCCGGATACTAATAAGGAATTTTTAACAATTTAAAAAAAAAAAAATCTGTTTCTGACTTGTTTATCGGGTTATCGCCAACGAAGTCCCCACACTCAGAAATAGCACACCCGAGTCATCTACATTAGGCGAGATCGCAAAGGTCAACCCAATCGGAGTGCAATGGAAAGGCTTTGCTTTGGGAAAGTTTGGATGCATTTTAGTAAATATAAGTTCACTTTATTTTAGGGTGAATTAATATTTTGAAGTGAATTAACAGAAAAGATCTCCATGTCATATCCAATTTCCGTACTGGTTAAAGATGCTTATTAGCTTTCCTTTGTCAAATTTCCAGTAAGTCATTGCTGCTGTGCGATATTCCTTTATATCGTCAATCTACTTTGTAGCAATCACCCGACCTCCAACAAATTTGTCATATGAAATTTACCAACGATAATCTTTTATCTCTTTATCTTCAGTTCCATAGTTTTAGCACGACTTTACATCGAATACCCACCACAAACTTGGTGCAAATACAAAATCTATATAAATCAGCCATTCTAGATTGCTTATAAAGAGACGGTTATTCAATACAGTGTCTAAAAGATGTGATATCGCTTTTAACTGACGTTGCACCAGTAATGTTTAGACAAAAATTCTTGAGCCGCGAAGCTAATTCTTGATGGGTTTTTCCCTAATGAAACTATTTGGCACTGTGCCACTCACGTGAATTTACTGTAGATAAATTTGGCTTGAATGACTCATTTTGTGATAAGTTTTATTCGTTATCAAACAGTAATCCTCTACCTTGAGATGCCCTTGAGCCTTATATTGGTTAAAAAAAGTAAAAGAAACCGGGTTGGTATTCACTGTATACTATTGAAATTTTGTTATCTTTTCAAACTGTTGGTTTGTATTGCTGGTAATTTTTAAAAAATTCATTTCTATATTTTCATGTTTTGACCGCAGTTTGGAGGTTCACTATTTTCCAAAAGCCGGAACCCTAACAGGTGCCACTACCTCGGATCAGGGGATAACAGCATTTAAGAGGTGGTTTCACGCTCCTCAAAATCTTCTGATCAGAGGCCTTACTACCGGGTGTAGTTTATCGTCATATCCAGGACGACAAAGTCTGTCGAGTTGCTTTACTTATGTGCTGTGTCTCTTCAGGACGTGGGCGATAATGCCTCTTCATACCTTCTTGCCTTTACTGAACTGTTAAAGGAATATGATAGTTTTATAAATCTATTTTGGGAAAGTAAGATTTATTACGTCAAAAGTACCGAAAGAGCAACGTACAAGGGGGCGAAAAGTATTAAAATTTATGATTATTAGTGAAGAGTAAACTAAACAGAATACAGAAAGATGAATGAAGGTAGTTCGGTGTATAACTAAGCTTTTTCGTACGCATGCGCTTATTTAGAGTTATGACATCGTACATTTCAGTGATGTTGACGGATTTGAGATCGAAATCTTTGCGAGAGAAGATGCGAAGAAACGACATGCTGAAAACAAATTAAAAATATAAACTAAAATTTAATTCACTTAATCGTTTCGTCCTTTTAAGAAGCATACAAATAAATGTACATTGTACTTATTGAATTTACATTCTCAATGCAGATCATATATATATATATATATATATATATATATATATATATATACACGAGTCCACGTATGCTTCATACGTTACAAAGTCTCCGTGCGTCATTGCCACCTGATGAATATTAATGTTTTTCGTACTTATTTCATTGGTAATCGGTACCCTTTCATTTGTTTTATTGACCAACTTATCTAATCTCTCTCTCTCATATATATATATATATATATATATATATATATATATATATATATATATAGAGAGAGAATATTTATAGAAGAGATTTCGATCTGAAGAGCTGAACACCTCGTTGTTCACG